AGTCAACATAAAGGTGAATACAGCGTTTTCACGACCAAGTGCAAGAGCATCATCAATGATAAATGAAGCAACACATAGATATCATGATGATCTTTTGGTGTTCCAGCAGATTTGTTATTGTGACTCGGGTGGTACTGATACTCAGAACGAAGACAATGTATCGTCAGCAGGACACAACTGCGAGAAACAATATTAATTAGTTCTTTGGTCTCAAAATCACGACATATAGGATAAAGACAATGCGGTTTGAAGACTGTCTTCAAGAAAACTTCGACGAACTCAAAATGAGGATATAGCACAAAAAAAGCAGCTCTCTTTGAATATCAGAAAGCTCTTTTTGCAAAATCTAAAATGAGCCAGAGAGAGTTTTCAGAACGCTGCAAGACAATGTTTTTGACAATGAACGACAATGACAAGGACAATGACAATCTTTATTCATCTCGCAGGGAGAAACTTGTCTTGGTCGTTAACAATGGCAGTAGACGTTACTAAAGTTAGACTTGAAGGTGCACTCACGCAAACGCACAACAAGACAGGACATTAGGCCAAGTAAATACATGTCTCACGGGCTGGGACAACCCGCTCCGTAAAACATTCATTCTCTCTCTCTTTCTCTCTCTCTCTCTGTCTCTCTCTGTCTGTCTGTCTGTCTGTCTCTCTCTCTCTCTCTCTCTCTCTCTCTCTCTCTCTCTCTCTCTCTCTCTGTGTGTGTTTCATTTGTAGCACTGTGTGTTCAGTAACCTCACTACAGTTGGTACGAATGAATTTCTGTATCGGTCTGTTATTGCTTTTTTGCAAATGTATCGTTTACTGCGGGTCGATAGTTGAAATCCGATGTCAGTGGGTGGCTATGGTCACTAAGAATTATTTCCGCCTTTTTTAGAACATTTGTCTTGTGCAGATATTCAAAGTTACTTAGGTCTCTACCAATTGTTCTTGATGCCTTTCTTATCAACATGTTTATTTTTATAATGTGCTGCCTTCCTAGATTGCTACCATAGCAAGTGATACCAAAATTTATCAAAGTTTCTATTGTGGCAAGTACTCTCCAAGAAATTTCTGAGAGGGGAAGGTTAGAGCAAAGTATAAGAAGTATAATGTCTTGAAATGTGTAGGCTGAGCTTATAATAGATATTATGCTGCTTTGAAAACCTAACAAAAAATAAAGAGTAATTTAACGTTTTGGTGAGGAAACTGAACTTAAGTTCTGCGTTTGTGTTAAGTAAAGAAGACTGCCCCCCATTTAGTTCATAAGAATCAACTATTTAGAAAATGTTGACCCAAAAATTAAACATTGCTACATAGCAAATCGATAATTTCTCCTCATGTTATAC